CATTTGACTGTGTCTCTGGTCATTTGTGCTACTAAATAATAACAGTACTGTTTTATCATCTCCAACTGTTGCTAGGAGCGCACAATTCATGTATTCAGTTGTCATGGTGATATTAATGTCGTTTTTTTTCACCACTGCAGGTCATTGATTTGTTGTTATAGAGAGTATTTTTGTGGCTTTTGTGTTAAACGACAGTAATTACAATGACAAGACCCTCAGGAACAGAACGAAGCGGACTGCCTAAAGAGGACAATCAGGATTTTCTCACCGCGCCGCTAGTGTTGAAGAGCTCCCAGATGTGATAATAACAAAAGCAACCGGTTGAAGCACCGAGCGACGACGTCTTTCTCATAAATGCACATGCAGATCTGTCCTCTCGCTCGGCAGATGCTAAAGCGTCAGGGGGGGTGATTATCCATTCCAGATGAACACACACACACACACACACCCTGAACAACTGCTGAGAGAGTTATAAGGCCTCGCTCTGCCTCTACTTGAGTGTCTGTCAGCTCTGTTTCACTCATTCACTCAGGGACTGTACTGATATTAATACTGACACTGACACTGGCCGAGAGAGCTGAACGTGCTGCAATTTAAGAAAACACACACAATTACAGTAAACATCAGCAAATTAAGACAAGATCCTCTTCAGTTTCACAGCATATGTGTTACAAATCCTCAAACCAAACGGCTTCATTTGACGCACTAAAATGGGGTCCGAGGAGGGTCTTCAATCTTCAGCCGAATATCCAGATCTGCCCTGAACCCCCCGGAGCTCATGAGTCTACAGCTAATTGATGACAGGCAATTAAAGCAGCTCGTTTAACCTTGGGGGGTCCGAGAGGAGAGACACCGAGAGAAACAGAAGAGTAAGCATTTACTCTGCATCATTAGACCGCGGAGAAGAAGAGAAAAGCCGATATGAGGACGAACAGGAGCCGGTGGGACTCTCGGAGAAATCTAAATAACCCCGGTGTGGAGATGACAAACGCTCGGTAAAAAGACCAACAGCTCATGCAAAAACTCATCAGGAAGGCTGGAGAGAGCGGCCAGGTCTAATACCCGGAGAGCACTCGCTGCCGAATCAATATTATATATTCACATTTTTCAAATGAATCGACATTTAAGATTGAATCTGCTAATAAATGGCAGGAGACTGTTCCTAATGCGCTGTTTGCATTGAAGATCGCTCCTTGCTTTTGCTTTATGAAATATGTAGCGTCGTGATTAGATGCAAAACACAATAAAGGAAAACATATTTGCAGTTTTGTATTTTTTATTTAATATAACAATGCAAGGTTTTAGGCCCCGTTTACACTGTCAGGTAAAAAAAGTGCACTAAAATGCACTTTATTTAAGTATACTTGGTACACTTTTCAGTAATGTACTAAAAGTGCTCTATTTTCACACACTAATTTTGTACTTAATGTACTAAAAGATAGTATTAAGTATTTGTTAAGATGAACTCAACACCATCTAAGTCAGATTTAGTATGTTAAAAGCACATTTTAGTTCAATTTCAGGGTGTCTCAAAATAGCACAGTTGAGTACACTTAAATCAGGGGTGCTCAACCCTGTTCCTGGAGATCGACCTTCCTGCAGATTTTAGGTGCTACCCATATCAAACACACCTGAACCTGTTAATTAGGACCTGAACTCCACTTGTTAATTACAGGCAGGTGTGTTTGATATGGGTTGCAACTGAAATCTGCAGGAAGGTCGATCTCCAGGAACAGGGTTGAGCACCCCTGATTTAAGTGTACTCAACTGTGCTATTTTGAGACACCCTGAAATTGAACTAAAATGTGCTTTTAACATACTAAATCTGTATTTTAAAAATATATGTTTAGTTACAACTCGAAATACACTTGAACACTACTTTTACACATTTAAATATATTTATGACTAATTTAAAGTACAATAGTAATATATTAAAAGAACATACAAATTGTAAAAAAAAAGTGTGCTAAATACTGTATTAAAAGTATTTTGGGAAAATGTACTTCTGCTACAATACATTACTAATAGATTTTTAATAAAGTCAATTTAATGTAAACTTAAAATTACCACACTCAAATTCAATTTCATTCATGTTAAGTGAACTTAAGTACAACTTTTGGGAAATTGTCCTTCTACTACAATACATTACTAATAGATTTTTTATATATTAACTTATTTTAAACTTAGGATTAGTATGTAAACAGCAGGGCCGGAGTGGGACTCTTTTTCAGCCCTGGAGTTTCAAGCCTCAGACCGGCCCACCTCAGTTCACCACTGACTATATTAAAATAAGGTTATTTCCAATTCAGTTTCTAATGACACTATCACGTCTTCTTTTGAGAGAACAGCTCTTTTAGAACTTCAAATGTTCAACAACCCTTACAGTATTATATGTCTTAACAATAAAAATGAAAAAAAAAAATTGTTACTCAGACAAGGACCGAACCCAGGTTGGCCGCGTCATAATCTAACGTTCTAACCACTGTACCACAACAGCTGTACGTTGAATGGTGACTTATCTAGTTATATCATCATTAACCTGCAGGCTGCAACCTGCTCACGAGGCTACGAGAAAATAGATAAAAAGAGCAGAGCTGCGGTAAAATAATGAATAGGAAGGCTGTGGTCAAGTAAATAATTTAATTATTTTTAAAAAGTGTGACTGCTGAGAGCAACCGATTCTGGAACTAGGGACACCGGCCCTCGCGGCCAAAAAACGGACCGGCCCACCGGGAATTCTCCCGGTCCTCCCGATTAGCCAATCCGGGCCTGGTAAACAGTGTACTAAAAATCAGCTAATGTTTAAAGCATTTAAAGCACACTTTTGGATGTTTTTCTGTAGTGTACTTTATTGTACACTAAAAATTTATTGAAATATTACTGGTATTCAGTATACTTTTGTCAAGTGTAATAAAGCCCCACTGAAGTATAAACATGCTTTTAATTAGTATATTTATAGTGTAAAACCATCAAACTTTTATTTAACACAAAAAAATAACAATGTATTTAAAATGTATTTGCGGGTATTTAAGTGTATTTTAATTGCATTTAATTATTTATTTTTTTCAGCTGGGCTGTCAGGTCTTGATGTCCACTTCTGATTTATTGCCTATATCTGATTTGTTTGCCTGTTTGTTTACACGTTGTTTTAATTGTGACCCCTATCCAATTTATGCATTTACACTTGCCATACTATTTACGATGTCGCGCATACATAAAGGCGGCTTCTAGCATCTGTACCACACTAGCCACGATGCAAGAAACTGTCTTGTTTTTAGCTCTGTGAAATATGCGAAGTGTATTATAAGCAGTGAATGGTTTAGTCCGGATTTAGCCCCACGTAGTTTATGTAATGGTATGGCCCTGATGTGTGTGTGTGTATTAGAAGTTGTAGCCTTTGCCTGTGTGCGCACTGGTGTTGGAGAGAATAACGTTATTCTATGTGTCGCCCGCAGGGCGTGTGTTAATAGCGACAAAAAGCAAAAGTTACAACACGAAGTTCCCCCAACTTTAAAATTATATTGAGGAGGGAAAGGGCCGTCATCGCAGCTTGCGCTTATGGTTTATATGCTGTATGATGTCCTCCAGCATTCAGAGGAATGTGTGGGTACGAGAGAGATCTCAGGTCTGGTGGGAGGAAAATGTGGCGACTGACCACTTTTCTCCTCTGTGTTTCCTCTGATGTTGTTTATCTGTCCTTATGTAAAAAAAAAAATAATCTAATACTGAAACTAACAAAAACTAAACCGGGCTCAACAATAAGGACTGCTGGTGGCTCGGGGCCAGCGTGAAAGACGCTCGAGACAGTAGACAGGATTGTTACTGGCCCCTATCGGCCAGTAACGATGAGCACATTATTTTTTTCATGACCTGGTAACAACTGGTACAGCGAAAAGATGGCAATATGCTGGCAACATCAAACTATGAGGCTAAAAGCAAATGTCTGTTTCTAAAGTTTTGGAAGCAGACAATTACATGCATACAAGATTAAGAAACTGAAAAAAAAAAAAATAAATAAATAAATAAAGAGTCGTCAGTTTGGCAAGCCGTTTTTATAAAAATAATTTAGAATTGCAATGAAATAGCAGCACATTTTCCAGACTGCTCTTTCGTTTGCATAAAATCTTGAATTGTGCTCATTTTACATTTATTAACACTTTTAAAATGTTTAAATTCTAGATTCTCAGACATTATTTAAAATATGTGGCTAAGAAATAGCTATTCTCTTTTTTTTTTTTTTTTTTTTTTGGTGTGGCCAGAGAAAATTTTGGCAGGGCAAATAAAAATCTCAAAATCCTGATTGGCCCAGTGGAAAAAATCCTTAGCGTTAAACCTGCTAAACTAAAACTCATTCATTTATTTTCTTGTCGGCTTAGTCCCTTTATTGATCCGGGGTCGCTACAGTGGAATGAACCGCCAACTTATCCAGCAATTTTTTACACAGTGGATGCCCTTACAGCCACAACCCATCTCTGGGAAACATTCACACACACATTCACACACACACTCATACACTACGAACAATTTAGCCTACCCAATTCACCTGTACCGCATGTCTCTGGTCTGTGGGGGAAACCAAAGCACCCGGAGGAAACCCATGCGAAGGCAGGGAGAACATGCAAACACCACACAGAAACGTCAACTGAGCCGAGGTTCGAACCAGCGACCTTCTTGCTGTGAGGCGACAGCACTACCCACTGCACTAAATAATTAAACTAAAAATATATAAACTAATAAACTCTAGTAAATCTGCCTCTAGAAACTAATTAAAACTGACTGAATTTGAAAACAAAAAGTCACAACGAAATAGAAACTAAAAATAGTGAAAAATCCCAAACTATTTT